CACACTCCCTAAATACATGCCAGCAATCACCTCCAAGGAACTTGCTTAGCTAGAATCAGCACTCGATCAGATTTCTATTTTTCCAAGTCTTGTGTGTGTGTGTGTGTGCGCGCGCGTGCATAATAGCTATAACTTATTCTCAGTAATACTCAAATAAGGACAAAAAATCTTAGATATTTTCTGAAGCAGTGGCCAGTATATATATAAATATTTTATTTATTTATTTATCAATGGTGGGGCTTGAACCCTGGGCTTGGGCGCTATCCCTCAGCTCTTCAGCTCAAGGTGAGCGCTCTACCACTTGAGCCACAGCACCACTTCCATTTTTCTAGTGGTTTATTGGAGATAAGAGTCTCATGGAGTTTCCTGCCCAGATCTCAGCCTCCTGAGTAGCTAGGATTACAGATGTGAGCCACCAGCACCCAGCACCAATTCATATTTATTCAAATATTTCTACACATTTAACTCACAGAAACCAAATGAATTTGACTTTATTTCTGAGGCCAAAAGCATTCAGCAGAACTTCAGACATAACTTTCTATCAGTCAAATCTCCACTGCTCATGCCCACAAAAAGTTCCTTTATGTGCTATTAAAAAAAAAAAAAGCTGGCTAGGAAGGTGGCTCAGTGGTAGAGTGCTTGCGTTGCATGCATGAGGCCAGCCCTGGGTTCAATTCCTCAGCACCACATAAGCAGAAAAAGCCAGAAGCAGCACTGTGGCTCAAGGGGTAGAGCGCTAGCCTTGAGCTGAAGAGCTGAGGGACAGCACCCAGGCCCAGAGTTCAAGCTCCACGACTGACCAAAAGAAAAAAAAAAAGCCACAATCATCTGGGCACTGGTGGCTCACACTTGTAATCCAAGCTACTCAGGAGGCTGAGATCTGAGGATGGCAGTTTGAAGCCAGCCAGTCAGGAAAGTCAGGGAGAGACACCTCTAATAAACTACGAAAAAGTCGGAAGTGGTGCTGTGGTTCAACTAGTAGAGCACTAGCAAAAAAACAAAAAAGCTCCAGGGGACAGCATCTAGCCCTCCATTCAAGCCCCAGGACTGGCACCAAATAAAGAGGAAGAAATGAAGAAAATGATGCCAGTAACTACTGTCTGGCAGTGTTCTTGGGTTGACCAAGGTAGCCAGGACCCACAGTGAGTTTTCCAGGAGATAAGGAAAGAACTGGGAACTGGGCCTGGTGTTCATGAATCAGAATGTCTTCCTTATGAGTCACCACAGAACGACTTTCGACAGAGCCTTGGGCGCAGGTGGAGAAGCTTTCTAATAGGCTACTAAGCTTCCTAAAATGTGTGTGTGTGTGTGTGTGTGTGTGTGTGTGTGTGTGTGTGTGTGTGTGTGTGTGTGTGTATGTGGGGGGGGAGAGAGGAGTGAGCAGGAGAGAGATAACAACGCAATACAGGTGCTCTACTAAGGGCCTGTTTGTTCTCCACGCTAATTTCTGGCCACACCCACTGACCTAATGTCCCTTCCCTTCCGCTTCTAAGTTAGGCAGCTGAGGACATTCACCAGCTAGGCAGGCCCAGACAACCACTAGAAAAACAAATGAAGCTACCTGTGGCTTGACTTCATCTTAAAGAAATATCATATTCTAACAGGGATTGCTAATCATTGATGATACTGTCTTTTAAGGCAATGTCACATTATTCTAATGAACAATCTTAAACTTTTTTTTTCCCTCCAAATCAGGGACAAAATGATTCATTTCACTTGGGCCAAATGACTCTGTGGATATCCAGGAGACTCACCAATGGTACTTCTCCCATTTCAGGCCACCTAGCTGTTTCCATTTTTTTCCCCCCACCAGTGAATAGTGGCTTCAGAAAGTATATCGAATACACAGATAGTCTCCCGGGAAGCCACACACATGCCCATCTGCACTGATGGCTGGGAGCCCAGCCACAGGTAAGTTACACCCTGCCCCGCCATCTTCCCACAATGCTTCCTTTACACACACTTTACCAATCATCACTCTACCTCAACAGCAATCAACCAAACTAAACCAAGGTATTCCCAGATCTCAATTTAAAAACTGAGGGAGGGAGGGGGGAGGCGAGGTACTGGTGGATGATTCTTTTAATCCTAGCTACTCTGGAGGCTGAGATCTGAAGATCTATTCAAAGCCAGCCTGGCAGGAAAGTCTAAGAGAAACTTATCTTTAATTAAATACCCAAAAAGCTGAAAGTGGAGCGATGGTTTATGTGGTAGAACTCTAGCCTTGAGTTTAAAAAAAAAAGCTCAGAGACAGAGACCAGGCTCTGAGTTCAAGGCCCAGAACCTGCATCAAAAACAAAAGTAAGAAGCCAGGCACTGGTGGCTGTAATCCTAGCTAATCAGGAGGCTGAGATCTGAGGATCTCAGTTCAAAGCCAGCCCGGGCAGGAAAGTCCAGGAGACTCTTATCTCCAATTAACCACCAGAAAACCTGATCTGTGGCTCAAGTGGTAGAGACTAGCCTTAAGCTGAGGAGCTGAGGGACAGTGCTCAGGCCCAGAGTTCAAGCCTCACAACCGACAAAAAAAAAAAGGGAGGGGGAAATGTAGGACCACTTTGTCTTTCCTGAAAAAAGACTTCAATGAGAGAAATTTGGTCTTGTCATGGTTATTATCTAAGTAATAAATTCTGTAAGATTCTTTAAACTCTTCACATAAGCACATTGATTTTTATTTATTTATTTTAGAAATATCGAGCTATGGAAAATAATTACAGCCCTTCTAAAGTGCCAGGAGCATCACGAATCACATTGCTCAAGTTTAAGTGGTCAGATGCCCAATTTAGTAAGTTCCACCCAAATGCATGCTTGGTATAAATGATTTTCTTCTTTTTGGTAGGGATTCCAAAAATACTAGATGGCAGTCTGACTTTTTAACCACCGGAGGTGGAAGTTTATTTATAGTTCAAGTATTCTCTTAGGGGCAAAGGTGACACGTTTGGACTGTGTAAAATATGTAAAAGCTTCAGTCAAAGATACCATTTAAAGATTTTGTTGTTGTTGAAGCTTGATATATACATTTTATCTCATCTTTAAGTACTAGTACAAAGGATTTTTTTTTTCTTGGTCTTTGAGCTTGAACTCTGGGCCTGGGCACTGTCCCTCAGCTCTTCAGCTCAAGGCTAGCGCTCTACCACTTGAGCCACAGCACCACTTCCAGCTTTTTCTTTTTCTTTTTTCAATTGTGAAAATACCGTACAGAGGCATTATAATTACATGGGCAAGGTAATGAGTACATTTCTTATCAAGCATTGTTGCCTCCTCCTTTGTTTCCCCTTCCCATCCCTTTCCCATCTTCCCCCCACCCCCAAGCTTTTTCTGTTTATATGGTGCTGAGGACTCGAACCCAGGACCTCATGCATGCAAGGCAAGCACTCTACCACTGAGCCACCTTCCCAGCCCTGGATTTTTTTAATCACTCTTTTGAATTAACAGAAGGGAGGTCAGGGGCTGCATGTGAACTCTGGATCATTCCAGCAGGTGAGGCTGGAGAATTTTTTTATATAATTGCTGGGGGTGGGGGGGACGAGGGAGAGAAGTGTCACTGTGACTTAGTTTCCCCCTTAAAACCATTAAACCACAAGGAATCAGAGGATGCCCCATCATATAATAATAATAATAATAATCAGGATTCCTTTTTAAGGAAGGAAGTGTGCAAAGTACAAAATCTTGTAGAACTTTTTTCTATCTTTCTGCGAGACTGCAACTCTCGCAAAAATAGCATCCTTACTTTCAGAAGGAAAGCTACACCGCGGCACCAAAGCCCAAGGGATGGAACGAAGGTTATTGAGGAGACATGCGGCCAGCTCCATAGATTCCCAAAGTGCCAGAGTTAAAGGAGCAACGGGCCCGTGGGGGCTCGTCCTAACTACTCAGGAGGCTGAGATCTGAGGATCAACGTTCAAAGCTGGACTAGACAGGAAAGTCTACGAGAGTTATCTCCAACGAACCCTCAAAAAGCCAGAAGTGGAGCTGGAACTCAAGAGCTAGAGAGCTAACCGAGGGGGGCGGGGTGGAGAAGGAGAGAGAGAGAAAGAAAGGAGGGAGAAGGGGAGAGAAAGAATACTCAGGGACAGCTCGCTGGTCCTGAGTTCAAGTTCCAGGACTGGCACACACACACAACACCCCTCCCAGCAACAACAACATCTTGAGTCCTTCTTGCATACAATCCAGAGTGGTGGCAATCACCTCGCCAGGCCAGGGCGGTTCCAGGCTGCACCCAGGTCACTTGCTCGCTGCCCGCCACCAGGTCCTCCTCGCCCTACCTGCCTCCCTGCCTGGCCTTTGTGCGGCTGCGCATGGCTCCGAGGCAGGGCGATGCCAGGAGGAGCAGCTGAGGCCTCTGCCCGGCCTCCGACCCCGGACAGGGCAGGGAGGCGATGCCAAGCGCTGGGAGGGGCGGGGGGCAGCCTGACCAGGCTGGGCCTTCCCAGCCCGGGTGTGGGGCGGGAGGGCAGCCGGGGGGGGGGGGGTAAGGAGGGGGAGGAGGTGGCACCACACAGCGGCTCCCCGCCCCCCTCGAACTTCCCAGCAGGAGTAAAGGTTTCCCCCTGGCAGGGCTGTACCCCCCCCTCTGCAAACACGTGTGCCCACACTGGGGCTCCCCGCGGCTGGCAGCCATAGCAACCCGGCCACAAAAAGTTAAGCGACTTGAAAAAGTTTTCCTTGCCTCCTCCCTCTCCTTCCCCTCTTCCCCTCCCCTCCCCGCCACACACACACACACGTACCCCCCAACTCCCCCAAAATTGCCTTCCTCCCCCCCCCCCCCCATTGAAGACAAGCAGCAGGCAATCAGAGCCCAAAGACGTGCAGACTCCCGCGTCCACCGTTTTCCACCCCTGGCCTGGGCAGCGTGCCCAAGGTGGGTGTCCCCCGCCCCACCAACATTGGGGTTTCCTGTCCCCCCACACACACACGCACGCACACACACACACTCCCTTTCCCGATTCTCGTTCCCCGGCTGGGATCAGGCGTCCCGGGACGCGGCGGCGCGGCCAACTCACCATGGTGACTCGCGGGGCCGGGCCCGGCTGGCTGGGAGCTGGGACTGGAACGCAGACTCCGGGGTGAACTTCCAAAGTTGGTTCCCAGGGTCAAAAAATTAAAAAAAAAAAAATCCAAAACACTCCCACCCCCCCCCCCCCTCAAGAAAAAACTCGCACCGGGCTCCGGACAGCCAAGCGCTCACAGGAGCCAATGGCAGCCGAGGGGTGACTCCATCCAGGCGGGATCCGCCGCCGCCCCGCGCGCTAGGTGAGGGCGAAGCCCGGGGCGCTGCGGCCGGCGGAGCGGAGCGCGCTCGGTGCGCGCGCGCGCGGGGAGCCGGGGACCGCCCGGGGATCTGCTAGGATCGCAGGATCGAGGGATCGTCTAGAAGCGCCCCGTTCCCCAGGTGCTCGGGATCGGCCCCGAGCCCTCGCTTCTAAACGCTTTTGCTCAAGCTACTGAAGTTAACTCGGTGAAGTCCGCTCAGGCTCAGCCTGCGCTCGGGCCGGGCAATCTGTCCATAAATGGAGAATTCAGCTCCGGCCTGGCCAATCAGGATCTGTGTTCGCAGCGTCACTCCTCGGGGGAAACCGCGGCTGGCCAACCAGACGGCTGCGGGGGGGAGTTTCCAAAGGCCTCTGGATCCTGTAGTCCGGCCTGCCGGCCTCGCCCACCGGCTGCTCGGGAGGCCGGACCTGAGCCGGGTGCCCCAAGACTCACAGGTGAGGCCGGGTCATCTCCATCCACCACTTCGTTGGTGGAAACGAATAGTTCCAAGCGGAGTGCCGGTGACTCACGCCTGTCATCCTCCCTACTCAGGAGGCTGAGATCACAGGGATCGCGGTTCGAAGTCAGCCCGGGCAAGCAAAGTCCAAGAGACTCATCTCCAATGACCACCACAAAGAAAAAGCCAGAAGTAGACGTGTGGCTCCAGTGGTAGAGGCCAGCTTTTGGGGGGGTGGGGGGGAAATCTAGCTTGGAAGCTGAAGTCCCATGATTTTCCTAGAAGGTTAAAAAAAAAAAAGGAAATATTTTATCAGCATAGATCAGGGTGGTGGCAAGCACCCAAAGGAAATCCTTTTTCTTTCCTATGTCTGGATAATAAGGAAAGTCAAAAAATGTCAATGTCCTTCCCCCTTTACCTGATTTCCTTTAAAAAAACAAAGGGAAACTTTTTTTCCCTGCTAGGAGCAAGGTGCATTGAGTACCAGAGGGGAGGAGGGAGGGAGACGGGAGGAGGGAGAAGGGAGGAGGGAGGAGGAAAGAGAAGAGAGTGGGGAGAGGAGGGAGGGAGGAGGGAGGAGGGAGGAGAGAAGGGGGAAAAGCAAAAGAGGGAGGGAGCAAAAGCCTGGAGCTGGCGGCTAGCCTGAAATGCGAGCTGAGGTCTGAAGATCAAGGTTCCAAGCCAGTAAGAAAAATCCATGAAACTCTGCTCTCCAGAAAACCAGAAGTGGGCCAGGCACGGGTGGCTCATGCTTGTAATCCTAGCTACTCAGGAGGCTGAGATCTGAGGATCAGCAAAGCCAGCCCGGCTTTGAAAACCAGAAGTGGTGTTGTGGCTCAGATTGGTAGACTGTTAGCCTTGAGCAGAAAAAAGCTCAGAGGCATGGTTCAGGCCCTGAGTTCAAACTCCATGACACAAACGAGGAGAAAGAGAAGGGAGAGAGGGGGGGAAGGGTAGGGAGAGGAGGGAGGAGAGGAGGAAAATGTGTGGGAAGACTCTCCAGCCTCGGGCCACACACCTGTGGAAAGCAATCAGGAGCGCAGGCAGAGCTGTGAATGGACTGATTTCTGCTTTCAGGAACTCAAGTGGGGACAGGGGAAGGGAGAGGGAAGAAGGAAGGGGAGGGAGATGAAAGGGAGGGAAAGGGGGAGATTAGTTTAGGGACCCTTATCATCTAGGGGGCTTAAAGAGATCGCCCCAGGATCTCTGCAGGTGAGATCTGAACACAGCACTTCAAAAGACTTGCAAGCATTTACTTGAAATTACTTGATGGGCTGTGAATAGGGGTCATAGTTAAGAAGGATGTTAAATCTCATCTAGAAAAGGGGGTTCAGTGGTGAAGTTTTACCATCATCAAAATACATTATATGATGCATATGCATATATGATGAAACCCAATGAATTTGTGCGGATAAAATGTGGTATTATTGTTTTTTTAAAGATGAACCACAACAACAAAAAAATGTTCCAGCCAGGCCCCGGTGGCTCAAACCTATAATCCTAATTACTCAGGAGGCTGAGATCTGAGGATCTCGGTTCAAAGCCAGCCCAGGCAGGAAAGTCCATGAGACTCTTATCTCCAATAAACCACCAGAAAACTGAAGTGGCGCTGTGGCTCAAGTGGTAGAGCGCTGGCCTTGAGCTAAAGAGCTGAGGGACAGCGCCCAGGCTCAGAGTTCAGGCCCCACGACTGGACCCCCGCCCCCCAAAAAAGCTCCAGACATGCTTAGTTTCTTTGCCCAAAGAGGTTGCCAAAGGAAAGCTGAGTGCTGGTGGCTCATACCTGTTAATCTGAGCTACTGAGAAGGGTCCAGATCCAGAGGATCACAGTGCAAAGCCAACCCCAGCAGAAAAGCCCATGAGATGCCAGCTCTAATTAACCAGCAAAAAAAAAAAAAAAAGCAGTGTGGGGGAATGTGGCTTATTGGTAGAATTGGTAGAATGCTTGGCTCGCATGCACGAAGTCCTGTGTGTGATTCCTCAGGACCACATAAATAGAAAAAGCCAGAAGTGCTGTGTTTAGATCTCACCTGCAGAGATCCTGTAGAGATCTAGTTGTGACCCACCAAGCTTATTTCCTCAGCTCCTGAGATGATAAGGGTCCCTAAACTAATCTCCCCTTTTCTCTCCCTTTCATCTTCCTCCCCCTCCTTCTCTCTCCCTTCCCCTTTCCCCACTTGAGATTCTGAAATCAGAAATTGGTCTATTCACAGCCCTCACGTGGTAGAGCACTAGCCTTAAGCAAAAGAAGCTCAGGGACAGTGTCCAGGCCCTGAGTTCAAGCCCCAGGACTGGTAAATTTTAAAAAAGCAGAGCTGGAGTAGTTGTTTAAGAAGTGGAGCACCAGCCAGGCAAGCAAGCCAAGCACACAAGAAGCCCTGAATTCAAACCCCAATACTGCCACAAATAAGAGAATGACAGAGGGGCTGGGAAGGTGGCTCAGTGGTAGAGCGCTTGCCTTGCATGCCTGAGGCCCTGGGTTCGATTCCTCAGCACCACATAAGCAAAAAGAAAAAAGCCGGAAGTGGCGCTGTGGCTCAAGTGGTAGAGTGTTAGCCTTGAGCTGAAGGGACAGCACCCAGGCCCAGAGTTCAGGCCCCACGACTGGACCAAAAAAAAAAAAAAGAGAGAATGACAGAGACAGAGATGGGGGAAGGATGTTTTGAAAGTGCATTAATATAGGAGCTTGTTCCTACAGGCTCCTGTTTTAGTTGCTAACATTTGGAAAACAGGTAAGTTCACCTTCAAAGCATTGTGGTACATGTACAAAGTGAAATATCACTCAACCATAAAAAGTAAGTACAACTCCATAGATATGGAAGTCATAAGTAGGGTTGTCTATCTGGAAACCAAGCAGATTGGTGATGAGCAGAAAGACAGAGGCTGGAAATGCATTGTTTTCCTTTGAAGCAATGAAAACATTCTGCAATTACAGTTGACGATTTAAAAAATGTATGAACACATTATAAAGCCACTGAGCCTGGCACCAGTGGCTCATACCTGTAATCCTAGCTGAGATCTGAGGACCCCAGTTCAGAGCAGCCCAGGCAGAAGAGTCCCTATGAGACTCTTACTGCGAATAAATTACTCAAAGCCAGAAGTGGTGCTATGGTTCAAGTGGTAGAGCACTAGTCTTGATCACAAAGAGACTCAGGGACAGCACCCAGGCCCTGAGTTCAAGCCCCAGGACCAGAGTGGGGGGAGGGGGGAGGCACTGAGTTAGACAAATTAAAAGGGAGAATTATATTGTAATTTTATTTAATTCAAAGAAAACCATATTGTCCTGATTCTTATATACAGGGAAACGAATATAATTGAATACCTTCCTGAGGACATAGGTTAGACACTAGAAATGCAACTGTTTCCTGCCTTTGCTGAGTTTTTTGGGTTTTTTTGTTTGCTTTTGTTTGTTTTGTCTTTTTGTCAGTCATGGGGCTTATACTGACCACTGTCCCTGAGCTCTTCAGCTCAAGGTTAGCCCTCTACCACTTGAGCCACAGTGCCACTTCCAGTTTTCTGTTGGTTATTTGGAGATAAGAGTCTCACAGACATTCCTGCCTGGGCTGGCTTTGAACCGCAATCCTCAGATCTCAGTCTTCTGAGTAGCTAGATTTAACAGGCATGAGACCAGCTTTGAGTTTAGGATTTTTTTTTTTTTTGTCATGGGGCCTGAACTCTGGGCCTGGGCGCTGTCCCTCAGCTCTTCAGCTCTTCAGCTCAAGGCTAGTGCTCTAGCACTTGAGCCACAGCACCACTTCCGGCATTTTCTGCTTATGTGGTGCTGAGGAATCAAACCCAGGGCCTCATGCATGCAAGGCAAGTACTCTACCACTGAGCTACCTTGCCAGCCCCGAGTTCATGATTTTTTTGGTGCCAATATTATGGCTTGAATTCAGGCCTAGACATTGCCCTGAGTTTTTTTGCTCAAGGCTGGTGTTCTACCACTTGAACCACAGCTCCACTCCTGGTTTTCGTTGATTTTTTTTATGGTTAATTGGAAATATGACTGACTTTTCTGCCCAGGCTTTGAACCATGATCTCTTCCTCAGCCTTCACACTCCCCTCCTGAGTAGCTAAGATTACAGGCATGAGCCACTGGTGTCCCAGCAAGAATTTATGATTTTAAAACTGGGGATACAGATGATAAAATTAAAAAGACAATAGCTGGGCATAGCAATGCGTACCTGTAATCCAGCCTTCTCAGGAGGCACCAGCAGGAGGATAGTTTACTCCCAGGAATTCAAGGCCAACCTAGTCAACAGTAAATTCCCAACAATTACAGCAAAGACATACAATGAGAAGCATCAGCAGTTTTGCACAAGGCACTACCCTCTCAGAGCTGCAGGTCAGGTTAGAAAAGTCATCCAACCCGGTGCTGGTGGCTCACACCTATAATCCT